TAATTACTTAGGTTGAGTTGCCGCCCTACTAAGGGTTAAGTTAATCTATCCTAGTCGACCTTCTTCTCTTTTCTTCCCTTTCCTCTGTCTCTTGCTGAAATCCCCAACTTTCTACTCTTCCTTCACAAGAAGCTTGGCCGAAATCAGCACATAAGGTTTTCTACTCTGATAAAAAAGGAAAAAAGAAAAAGAAATACAAATATCTGTACATTTTTTGGTACATAAAATGGTTTATTTATCTTTCAAAAAATAACAAATTATATTGGAATTGAAGAGGTGGATGTCAGAGAATCTCAGGGTCTATTGGAAGAGGGAGATAGGGTGTTAAGGGGGTTGCTCAAGAGACAATTGGAAGACATTTTTCTAAAGGAGGAGATTAGTTTGAGACAAAAATTGAGGGTTCAATGGCTTCAAGAGGGAGATAGAAATACAAAATATTTTCATGCTATGGCTAGTGCAAGAAGAAAGAATTTTATCTCTAAGTTGGAGATAGATGGTGAGGTCATATCTTAGCAGGGAGCAATTGCAAAGGCTTTTGTGGAAAACTTTAAATCAATTTATATAAGGCCGTTAGATGAAAATTTCTGGGCTGATGGTTTGGATTGGTCTAGCCTTTCGGGAGACCAAAAGTTTTGGTTGGAAAGACCTTTTGAGGAGGAGGAGATCAAGAAGGTGGTGTTTTCTTTGGATAGAGCCAAAGCACCAGGGTCAGATGGTTTCACAGTGGCTTTCTATCAAGATTGTTGGGAAGTGCTAAAAGAGTATCCAATGGGGGCTTTCAATGAGTTCTTTGAAAGGGGAATAATAAATCTAGGTGCGAACTCCACATTTATTGCCTTGATTCCTAAAAGACATGGAGCTAGTCATCCAAAAGACTTTAGACCCATCAGCTTGGTGTATAGCTTGTACAAAATTCTAGCTAAGGTCTTGGATCTAAGAATCCGGGAAGTCCTCCCCTCCCTCGTAACTTCCAATCAAGGGGCTTTTGTCCAAGATAGGCAAATCACTGATCAAATCTTAATTGGGAATGAATGTATTGAGGAAATGAAGAGATCAAATAAAAAATGATTAATCTGCAAGTTGGACTTGGAAAAAGCCTATGACTTAGTTGATTGGACTTTCTTAATTGAGGTTTTAAGGCAATGTGGGCTTGGTGAGAGATGGTGCAAATGGATTTGGGGTTGCTTAAGATCTTGTCACTACTTTATCTTAGTTAATTGCATAGTGGCGGATTTCTTTCCAGCTAAACATGGGTTAAGACAAGGAGATGCTCTCTCCCCTTTTCTTTTCACACTTATAGCTGATTGTCTAAGCAGAATTATCCTAAGGGCTGATCAGCGAGGGTTGTTGAGAGGGTGGAGAGTAGGAAGAGAGGGTGCGCCTATTACCCATTTACAGTTTGCAGATGACACTATTCTTTTTTGTGAAGGAACTGAGTTGGAATGGGTAAGGAACATGAAGTTTTCAGTGCAGCTCTTTGAAAGGATGTCAAACCTTAGGATCAATTTTGAGAAAAGTTGCGTAGTGGGGGTAAATATGGGGGAAGGGGAATTGGTAGAATGTGCAGAGATTTTAGGTTGTAGTGTTGGATCGTGGCCTTTGACCTATCTAGGGGTGCCCCTTGGAGCTAACCCAAAAGAAGTTGGTTTCTGGAATCCGGTCTTAGGAAAATTCTCCAAAAAGTTAGCTAGTTGGAATAAAGGGTATTTGTCATTAAGGGGCAGGATTACAATGATAAGCTCAACACTAGCCAACTTACATGTCTACTATTTGTCAGTTTTCAAGGCTCCAGTCAGTGTTTGCAAAAGCTTAGAGAATATGATGAGGTATTTCTTGTGGGAACCAGGGAGGAAAAGAAATATAATAGGGTAAGTTGGGAGGTTGTGTGTAGGAACAAAAAAGAAGGAAGGTTGAGTTTAGGCAATATACAGAAAAGGAACTTAGCATTACTTGGGAAGTGGTTATGGAGATTGCCTAGGGACAAGGAGCATTCATGGGCTAAGGTGATAGTGAGCATTCATGGGCTCTTGGACAATGGATGGGATGCTGGTCTACTGCCTAGGGCAACCCGGAAGATGCCTTGGAAGGCTATCAGTGCAATTTTACCTACATTCATCCCCTACATCAGGTACAATCTTTGTAATGGTAATGGTATAAAATTTTGGGAACATATATGGATAGGCACCTCCCCCCTAAAGGATCAATTTCCTTCACTGTATGCCCTCTCAAGCCTTAAAAATGAGCCAATTTCCAAATTCTGTGTTCAATTATCTTCAAATAATGGGGTTAATTGGGATTTGGGCTTCCGAAGGGGTATCAGAGATTCAGTGTTTCAGAGTGTAATTAACCTATTACAGCTGTTGGAGGGAGTTTTTCTTGAGCTATCTGAACCTGATAGTCGAATCTGGACCTGTACAACCTCTGGCTCCTTTTCTTGTGCTTTTTTCCTCAAAATTTTGTTACAGCCCTCCCCTAGTATTCTGCCTTCTTTTCCTGTGAAAGAGGTATGGCGCAGACCTGTCCCGCCAAGGATTGTGGCTTTTTGTTGGGAAGTTGTACATGGAAAGGTTAACACACTTGATCTTCTTCAAAGAAAGCGGCCCAATATGTGTTTATCCCCTCACTGGTGTGTCTTATGTAAGGCTGATGGTGAGAGTTTATATCACTTATTTGTCTCTTGTTCTTTTACTACTTCGGTTTGGGAATGGTGCTTCTCTTTGTTTGGGTGTAGGTGGATCCCTCCTGTGAGTGTATGAAGCATGTTTGATGTAACTGCATTTTCATGGCCAAAAAAGAAAGGGAGAACTATGAGGAGGTGTATAAGAGTTGTTACATTGTGGACGATTTGGGAAGAGTGGAACCCAAGAATCTTCTTGGATAAAGCAAGAAGTAAAGAAGAAGTTTTTGAAGCAATTGAAATTAAAGTGGTGCACTGGCTGAAGTCCCTAAAAGATTTCTCTAGTGTTTCAACAACTGATATATTGAGGAACTGGAGGGCAGTGGCGGATTCTTCCTTTGTTAAGGCTGTCTCAATTCATCATTGGAGCCCACCAGACGGGCTTTATTAAATTAAATTTCGATGGTAGTAGCATAGGGAATCCAGGTTCCTCTGGCATTGGAGGTGTATTTAGAGATGAAAGGGGCAGAATTATTGCACTATATTTTGGGCCGGCAGGGGAAGGAGACTCATTGAGGGCAGAAGTCATGGCTGTAATGGAAGGCATACAAAGGGCGAAAGCTCTGCACATCAACAAACTAAGTGTGGAGGGAGACTCAAAATTGGTGATCAACTGGCTACAGGATGAGGGAGTGAAAATGTGGATTTACAATAATGAAAGGAAAAAATTCAGATGGTTAACTAGAGACATGGAAGGACAGGGTGGGTCAAGCGGAGTGCAAATGCCATAGCTGATTTATTAGCTAAGCAAGGGGCGGAGAGAGATTCATTGTTTTGGGCACAATTGTAAGGGATTTGGGGGTTTTGTGGGGAGAGATAAGAATTTTTATCTCTCATGAACTTAAACTGTTTTAACAGTCTGTACTTATCACTTTCTTCTCAGATTAATAAAACTGATGTTATTGATAAAAAAGAACAAATTATACTATAAAAGTATCTGTATATGTTAAAATTCTGTACACAGTATGATATTAATCTATACATGTTAGAATTTTAATTAGATTTGTCAAGACTTAAAAGTTTTGAGGAATGACATTTAGTTTCAAGAACTAGATACAAAAGCATGATATAGGTAATATTAAATGGGATATCCTTACCTGTACCTTTGTCCAGGGTTTTAGGAATGAAGAATTGTATTCTTGTTTCCTGTATCGATATCTGAGCATTGCAACCATTTCCTTTGGCCAATAAATGGGAATTGATAGCTCCTACTCTATTATAGATATCTACTGTTGCAAAACAGTTTCCAGCATAGACAGGCATTAGTGTATCACAAAGATGTTATTAGAAATGACTTTTAACATGATTCTTTCAATATGCCTATAGGTTGTGATCTAATGATTGATGGGAGGATGAAACTTTCATCTTACCTACCTGGACCAAAAGCAACATGAGGCAGATGAGATAGGCTGGTTGCAACTACAATTGTTTCTTTGCTTTTAAGCATAACATGGCAAAACAGGCAACACAAGTTCCTTGGCTTCTGAAGTACACATGTCACAATTTAAAACATTGTGACTGCTACCTTTACCTTAAGAATGGGATCTTTTGGTTTTCTAGTGGTGGTGCTGGTTTGGTGTTATCATGCTATTGGAGTAAATGTATTATGTAGGTTTTCTTATAATACTAACATAATAAACTATAACTTTTCTATCTGTTATTATGGTAGCTAAGTTAAGCTCTGTACCTATATCTCTGTGTGACTCTAACCCTGTTCCTGGCGTTTCATGCCTTGCTTCTTGAATGAATGTGTACTGATATCACTGTTCATCTACATTCATTTTCATAATACTGTGATTTCACTTTCATCTGAGTTTAGTTTTACTTTGCATCTTCTTCTGATGGTTTCTTCTTCACTGTAATATGCTGAAAAAAATCTGATATGATTTTTGCTTGTTCAGAACATCTTGTGGGAGAAAGTGGTCTTACTGAAGAGCTTCTATTTATTTTTCCTCTAATCAACCTGGCCTCATCTCCTTCTAAATCTGTTAGAGTTGCAGCCACTGACTTTCTTTTCTTGCTGGAAAAGTTCGTAGTAGACTTGCTGGTGATGCCAAGGAAGCAACCAATTACCAATATAGAATCTAAATCTACTAGCAAACTGGAAACCATTATTTATAGGCTGTTGCAGCGTCTGTGGTTCCAGGTTTATTTTCTTTCAGTACTCAGTAAAATCTGTCAACTGGTTAAACTAGATTTATATGGCATTTGTTCAAGTCATTTGACTTTTACAGGTTAACCTTTGCATTTTCATCAATGCTTATCATGATGCATTTATAATGGTTAACCATTTGCTTAATCCATCTCATCAGTATTCATCTTATCACTCATTTATGATTTGCATATGACATTATGCCATTAGGAGCTCGAGCGTATAACCTCTAGCTCCTAATTAAGTGCTTTGGGTGCATCAAATTTGAGAACCAATTTGGGGAAGAGTTGTATAGTGGGTATTAGCATGAACAAAGGGGAAGAGATTTGCAGGTCTTTTGGGCTTTTCAGTATTGGAGTGGCCTTTGAGTTACATAGGCCTACCGCTAGGTGGCAACCAAAGATTTTTGAACTTTTGGAGCCTTGACAAGTTGTCATAGACAAATTCAATTAGAAATTGACAACATGGTAAAGAAACCATAGTGGTTCAGACAAGTTATTGGCACAAGAAGCCTAGCATTCTTATGGCATATTTAAGCCAGGAAACATGTTGAATTAGTAGGGACATGATATTTGACTATTTTTATTCTTTTCTCTACTTTCAGGATCAACCTTCACTATCCAGTTCTTACTTCTTGAGTTTTGCTTCCATCGCTAAAACCAATATTAAAGTGATAGATAGTCAACCAAAATCTTGGCTTTCTCAGTTAAGAGAATACTCTCTATTGACTGTTGAAAGACAAAAATCCCCATTGAATTCTCAGACTGAAGAAAATATTTTAACAGGTTAGTTGACATTATGCAATATTAGGCTAGCTTTTGCTTAAAAGTTTATTCCCTTAATTTTATTTCATGACTGATTTTTTCTCCTTGTAGAGATGCCTCTGGTACTTGGTTCAGTTGTTGCTGTTCTAGTGATCCATCATTCATTGGGGAATGCTGCTATAGATTCTTTGGCTGCTCTTGGTGTTATGGAGCCTAAATTGAGTGTATCACTACTACTAGCGATTCTCTTTTATAATAAAGTTTTCTGCAATAATAAGAGTGACTTCCATTCAATGTCTGTAAGTTTCTTTCTTTTCTTGACAAATGATTGAAAAGTATCACTTATAATTCCAAAATGTAAAGAATAAAGACCAAAACAAAAGGCAGGATATATGCTTGCCACTTCATTTGTCATTGCATGGTGCAAGATTAATGTTTTTGTGTTCTTTTTTAGCTTGTCATTTCATCATTTTTAACATCAACTTAGTATCTTCCAACATTGGATGTAGCTAAAACTTCTTGGGATGCTTCCATCACTTGCTTCACATTCTATGATGATACCTCTCGTTATTCAAACTCTTTTACCAATGCTTCAGAAGGATGCTAGACCGTAAGTTCTCTACCATATATTATGTCTATGGTTTATGTTTCTTTCCTATGCTGATGAGTGCTGGCAATCATCTGGATGCCATGCATGCTACCATACAACTTGTTGATTTATGATCCTTTTGCCCTCAAGCATTCATAACATTGCCTTTTGATGTCTTCTAATTCTTCTCAGATATCCTTGTTGAGTGGTATATATTTAACTTGTTTATTTAAATCTTTTGATCAAGTAAATGATTTTTTTTTTTTTTTTAAATTCAAAGAATATAAGATAACCCATGGATTGTGAGTTTTGGAATAGTGTTCTGTGTATTATTGAAACACTACTTTAGCTTATGAACATAAACTTTTGAAGAAAGTAACTATTAAATTGTATTAATACAAAAAGGGTGGTAACATGAGAGGATTTGTTAGACAATGTATGCCCTTAGCTCTAATCAGATTGATGTATAGATACATTTATTGTAAATGAATAAAAATACATTATGTTTCATGTTGATATTTGTATGCTTTTGTGAAATTACCCCTTAAACTGAACACTTATGAGACTCGTGTTAGTTTAGAATGTTCTTAGCCATTGGATAAATTTGAGGAGTTTATCTTGCCAAGGCTGACACTGATATGCTGCCAAAGAAGTTGGGGCAATTTGTTTCAGTTGCTAGGGTTAGACACAAAGCACACGCAGTGTGTGTTTGGATGAAACATTGAACATAAACCATTTTCCAGTTATGCCTTGAACCTTAGAGATTGATGGGCAAAATTGGAAAGTTACACATAACCCCTAGACTTGATTATGGTACTATACTAGGTGTTGGATTGGGTTGTCTTTGATATGCCAATAAATGAGATCCATTAAGGGCCAAAACCTGGGTATGTTGGGGCAGTCTAAGAATTCATCTAAGTGGGTGATCATAGTGATAGGATCAACCTCTTTGTCGGACAAAGTGAATGATAGGGCTTACATTCTCTCTGATGGAAACTTAAACTGCTGGCAGTGAATTTCACCAGTGTTTTGAAATCTGATTTTGCAAAATATATTTATGATATATATATATATATACTAATATACATATATTAATGTTTTATGAAAATGTTTGCAAAGGGTTTTAATTCCCGAGATCCATTCGAGCAGAGAGTGTGACACTGTACCTTGTAGTCAAAGGAGAGGTTTTTTCCTGTCGGGCAGTGTTGTGATCATTATGGGCTGGGAGGTTAAGTGTAAGAGACCATTACAAGGCTGATTACCTGATGAGCTTTATCTTATTTAAGTCCATTATCCTTAGATTTTCATAGAATGGCTAGATTTAAGGATCATTTAGGTGTAAATGTTGGGTCGATATTGAGCCCATAGTGATGTGCTCAGGGGTTCATTGTGTTTAGCAGTAAATTCGGTTAAGCCTTTTCATAGAGGCTGGTTTGAACCCATGTGGACTTATGTGAAGTCATTGTGGGGTCCCACGCCATACAAATCAGGCCTAAGTTGGCCATGCAACATCTTGGGTCATGAGTCTTTGAAAGAAATGAGCCTAAGGCCCATAATTAATAAGATTAAGTAAGTTGTCACATGCATGTGCTCTGGGTCTAATTTGAGTTTGGAAATGGGTATGGAGCACCCATCCTCTTAAGAGGATAGGGCTTATCTCTTAATAGAGTCCAAATCCAAATTAAATTTGGATAATCTCCTAATTTGATTAGGAGAGTGCTCCATAAGGAGATAAAAGAAGAAGAGGGCAAACTAGAGTAGAAGACCACTCTCTCTTGTTCTCTCTTCTTTTTTGTCTTCCAAGAAACCCTATCACGACCTAGGCTTTCAAGGACTTATAGAGATCAGTTTTCTTTTGATTTTTTCAAGCTCACCATCCTAGTTCGGTCCAAGCAGTTGAGTTGCAGTTTTGTTGAAAATTGTGTTGTTGAATCAACTTCACCTATACAATGCGCCATCTTCAGTGGAGGCTGGTTTTAGGGTTGATTTGGGCATGAACTTCCACCTTGGGATTTGCATTTGTGGTATCCGTGTTAAGTATAAATCTTCCTCTTTGTTTGGTTTCAAATCTGGTATGGTTTAGTGCAAGACCGATCCTGAAAAATACAGTTTTTTCAAAAACATAGGGAATTCGATTCACAGAAGGATTAGGAAATTTTTGAAAATTTGCCCAGCCATCTAGCATGGTTCGACCATCTATATGATGGATCCTAACCCTTTCAACGGGATCAATGTGAATATACAAAATATATGTTTGCACCTCCTTCCTCAAAAACAAAAAAAGAAAAAAAAATCAGGATTTGAACTGTCATTGTAAGGAATAAAAAGCAAGCTTATTTATCATGAAAACTGAAAGCCAGATATGGTAAAAATGGGACAAAAAGTTGCTAGGGGTGGTGGTTTCTCTCTTGCCAACTGGAGAGATCCCTCTAAGCTTAGGTGCATCGAGAAGGATTGCTGCATGCAAAGGTATAGAGACTTCCAAGGCAATAAAATGGGTGAAGCAATTCTTCGAAGTAGATTGAATGGGAAACTTCCCATGGTGTTGCTGTCTTCAACAGGTGAGTTCGAGGTTGAGTCATTTAGAGAAAAAGGAGATGAATGAGAGGGCATACAGGTTGAATTAAGTAAATATGTTTGTAACAGAGATTGATGTTGATATCCCATGTGTTTGGGTAAGAAAAAATTTGGAGATGGAATGTCTTAATACCCAACCAAGCTGAGAGTTCTGAGATAGAGACTGGTTAAAGTGATGATGATAATGTTAATAAATCAAATAGTGTAGAAGATAAGGAGGAAGAAGTTGAAAGAGACTCTGGAGGGCCTACTGCAGTTGTGGTGGTGGGTGAGGTAAGGATTTGTGATGGATGGGGGAAGAATTCTTTTAAAGATGATGAAAATGCAGAGCACTTGACTTCAAAGAAACCAAAGGGAGCTAATAACTTCCAAGGAGGATGTGATCAAGCCAGGTCAGTTGACTGTAGTTCGGGAGAATCAGAGGAACAAGTGGAAGGGGCAAATCATTTGTGATCAAGCCAGGTCAGTTGAGAAAGAGTTTGAATTAGAAAAAAACTGTCAATTTGAAGTTGAAATTATCAAGAGAATGAGTTTGTTTTTTTTTTTTTTTTCCTTTTTTTTTTGGGTGGGAAGGAGTTTACGAAAAATGCTTTTATGGAACTGGAGTTGAGAGAGGTTTCCAAGTAAGTGGGGAGGGTTTGGAAGTGGAAGAGGTGTTTGAACTTTGAAGAGGTATGAAGGGATGAAAGGAGTTTGGAGGGTTGATAGGTCAAATCTTTTGGGTGTTTGTAAGTGATTGTTGGAGAAATAGTGTTGAAAGACATCAAAAAGGTTAGCAATTGGGCTGGGGGAGGTCAATCATTAATTTTGTTGTAGAAAGGGGTTCTCTTCATTCTGGGTGATACCTTGTCACCTTGTGTTCCTCTTTTCTTTTCTTTAATAAAATTTTCCCTTTATTATAAAAAAGGACAAAAAAAAACCAAAGTGCACAATGGTTGTCTTTCAGTGGGCCCATCATAATGCTTTGTTTGTTTTGCATCAAGGACTTCATATGTTTGCATGCATTTGTGTAAAAAGGTCCTGTTATAATTTGTAGGAAAAATGTGTCAGGCATACTAGAAACTTTTTTGCTAAATCATAAACTCATAATTTGTCATTAAATTGCACTTTGTGTTAGTGACCATTATATTTATAATCAAAGTTGTCAAGGCATCTATATGATTCTAGGCGGAGTGGAATGGCAGGTGCCTAGGCATTGCCTTATGCAATAAGAATTTTATAAAGCAACAAATTAAATTTTAGGTCAGTTCCCTAGTTTTATATACCATCAGCATGCATATCAATTGAAAAAAAAAAAATAGCAATTCTCTTTATTAAGAACATTAACTTCACCTTCTCTCAGAAAAAGAAAAGACTTTCCTTTCAAAATATGGCAGACCATCATGTCTAAAGGATAATGGTATATTAAATATTTTTAACTTAAAATACTTTCAATAATAACACTAGTAAATAAATATTTAGTAGTTCAATTTCATATGAAATTAGCAAGTAAAGAATGCTTAAATGAGAGAGAGAAAGAGAGAGTAGAAAAAAGAAACCTCTTTATTCTATTTTTTGATAAGTAATTAAAAAGATTTTATTAAAAGAAGTTACAAATGAGGGTGATAAGTCATCATCCAAGTACAAGACCAACTTTAAGACTAAATAACAAGCTCCACATTACATATTTGATAACCCAGGATCTCCCCTAACCTATCTCCAAATTCCTCCTTTTCTAGTTGACTGAGTTCTGGAAGAATCAATACCCATTCTGTCACTGTTCTGCCCACAGCCGCAACCATCTTGTCCATGCTGCAAGCTATGTCTTCGAAAGTCCTTCTGTTCCTCTCCTAACAGATGTTCCAACAAATTGCAAATGGGATACAACTCCATAACAGCTTCACCTTCTTACTCTAACAAAAGGTTCCAGTTTTGTTCCCTGCAGCAATACTCAGAAGATTCTACCACCTCTCTCCTCTTCCCGTCTCTCAATCCCCTTACATTCCAAGGTAAAGCTTTGCTCCTGCCACTCCCCTCCCCCCTCTAGCAACCCTTCTATTCCTCTTCCGGCAGCCCTGCTAATCTCCCTTCCCCATCTTCCTCTCCTTCTTCAACAATTCCCCCACTAGCCCTTTTTTCTTATTCCTCCCTTCTAGACCACTCATACTGTCAATAGTCTTTCTCACCACCTCTTGTCCTCCCAGGAAGAACAGGCCCAAGGTTTTGCCTACCTCTATCTGTCTTTCTACCAACTCTTCGTTGTCCACCTTCCTCCCCACTGATGACTCCTGCCTCTCTACCACCTCTCCTCTTTCTTCCTGATTGCGTTCTGTCTCACCCCTTGAAACCTTCTCCTATGTCAACCTTTCCCGTCTTGTTCACCCCAAACTTCTTTATTTTTTTTTCTTCCTATTATAAACTCTATTTTTCTCCTCCACCCCTCTTTTTCCTTTTGTGCCAGAGTTCCTGACCCCTAAGTCGGAAACCGTCTTCCCTTCCCCTTTGGTTTCAGCCCTTGAACTACCCTTAATTGAAGGTGGAACAGAGATGGGAGATGTTCCGGAGGGAGAAGCACAAACAGATAGGGTTCCAGGGGTTAAACCTACCTCGTTAAGCTCTCTGGCCTCTTTTTGATTGAAACCAACTTCAACTCCATCTAGAAACACCTCTTTCCCTACCGAAGGTGAGTCTTTATCGCTCAAGGTCATGGCCGTTACCATGTTTTTCCATCCTGTCTTTATTCTAAAATCTCCACCCCAACTTCTTCCACCCTTACTTCTGAAACGGCTGCAACCTCTGTTACATTTATCTTTGGCATATGATTGTCGCACGCCTGATTCTCTCTTTCTAGTGAAGCAGCGGTCTCATCCTTTTCTCCCCTGTCTGTGTCTGACCAAAGGAACTTTGCCTTCCATCCCTCCCAAACCGCGATCTTCTCGTTCCCTTCGTATCTTGTTATCACCTAGATCCAGTCCTTACTGATAGCCAATTTCCTCTTCCTGGTCGGAGGAAATGGATCAGTTTCTCTTGTCTTCAAATGCATGAGGGAAATTCCCGAAGAGCCCCTCATGCATTTGACTTTTTTGCCCCTTCCTCTCCTTTTACACTCTGTTGAGAGCTTGCTGAAGCGGTGATCCTTGTTCCTTCTCACTTGAGTGACCAACCAGTTATAGTTGGTTCCTCCCTCTCCTTCTTTCCTGGCCCCTCTTTAGAATCCCGGTCAAACTTTGGTCCACATCCATTCCATCCACTTGTCCCTCCTTTTTATCCTCTCTGGCTACCCCTTCGTCCACATGTGCCTTCCCACTTAACCCTAAGTTTGACTCAGCAACTTCCTCCTCCCCCACTCGACTCTTCAGCTCCCTCACTGCTTCTCCCTCCTCCCCCTCTTGACTCTTCTGCTCCCTCCCTTCCTCCTGCCCTTCCTCTATTTTTGCCTCTGCACTCTCCCGAGCATCAGAGCATCTGACTTCTTCCTCAGATCTCCTCTTTTCTCTGCGCTTAGAGTAAGGCTTCTCCTCTTTACGATAGGTCTCATCAATCCCTTCTACCAGCAGCCTCAGCTCATACTCCTCCCTTGCAAACTCCAGGATCAACCTCCTAGGTACATCTGCTGGATTCTCAACCTCGACTAGGATCCTTGCAACATCAATCTTTTCCTACGTTCTGTTACGATCGTCAAACTTTATGAATCTACCACAAGCTGCAGCCGCTTCTTAAAAGGTAACAATACTCCACGCATGGAGTGGGATCCCTGCTACACCAATCCATGTCACGTAGCTCGCTCTCCGCCCCTTTAGCTCCCCAATTGCTGGGAACCACCCGCCCAACCTCAGGTTAACAGCCCTTTCTTTTATCTGTTCCCCTTTCAAAACCTCCTCTGCGAAATCCTTTGAGTGAAACATGGACAACCATAGTTCTGCATTCAATTTCCTCACCTCTAACACCTTCTCTCTTTCCCATTCTAGTTTTGCCCAGGCGTCAAACTCTTTTTTGTCCATCTCCTTCACTACCACCCTTCCCACTAAGCTCATGTTCAAAACCTTCATCCACTCCTCCATCTTCCCTATCTCCCTGACGTCCACTGCAACTCTCTTCCTCCATCTTCCCTGCAAAACCTCTTTATTCTTCTCTTCTTTCTTTCTTTTTCTCTTCTCAAAACCCTTAGAGCTTTTAAGTTTCATTAGTAAAATTTTAAATCAAAGTATAAGTGATACTATATACACATAATAATGCACTTGCCTTTTGATTTATACATACTATTAAGGATGCAGCCATAGCCATGATGCTATAATAAGACGCTCACCATGTGTGTGTTTTGTTGCCTAGGCAGGCACCTAGTTGCTATAAGTCAAGGCATTTAGGGGAGGTGCCCAACCAAGGGAACCTAGTTGCCTAGGCAATGCCATGACAAACTACGTTTGATAGGAAAGGAATTCTAGGATTGTGATTCTAAATTCATTTAGGAGCTCGTGTTTTACTCATATTGATCATATGCTGGTTTTTATTTATCAAAAAAAAAATCATATGCTGGTTTTTCTAGTTTACATATTTTTTTATCTGAAAAGGTAAGATAGTTTGTACAAATTCTAACTTTGCAAAAGGTTACAAATGTAGCACATGGATTATGAGTTGCTATATGGGAATGTTCAACCCTGTAAAGGAAACAGTAAATGATAAGAATCTAAAACTGCACAAAAGGTATATGATGAGAGAAGTATGAGCTATGAACTATGTTCCTCAAGGTGGAATGCACAGAAAGCTAGGAGCCTAGGACTTAACCATTTCTGTGGCCTTTCACAATGCCTCATCCTTTACATCAGCTTTGTTATCAGAAGTTCTTGCATTTCTTCCTGCCAATAGGATCCATATAATTGTTGGGGGCCTATGCTCCATGTTATCTTGCTTTTCTCGTTAAGGCCTTTGGCCATCCATGCCGGTAGCATTTCCATTTCAGATTTAAGACAATACCAAGTACCAACTGTAGTGGAATAATTGCAAGAAATGGATCCTATTAGCTTATCTGAATGGGGAATGCAGGACAAGGTGGTCTGCTATCTCCATCTCCTGATGGCAGAACACACAACTAGCAGATGGGATTACCATTCCACTTCTCAGTAGTTTATTGTTTGTAATACACCTTCTTAAAGTTGATATTCATATTATACATGATACCTTCTAGGGTACTGGTGATGATTCCAGAACTCCTTAGGGGGAACAACTTGTTTCCCATTGCTGTCAGATACTTGAAAAAATTGCACATGTGAACATATCAGATTTATAACATATACATACTCTAGTTTTCTTTCCCCATTTTTAATGAATAAATTGCATGTGGTTTCAGTAGTTTTGTTTCTTCTACACCTCAGGGTGTTATATGCTACAGCAACTCGTCTACTTTGTAAGACATGGGAAGTTACAGATCGTGTCTTTGGGACTCTGCAGGTACGTTTATGTAGTCATTCTGTCATTCTTTATTCTTTTTTTTTTCTTTCCGAAAAATCCTTTCAAAAATATCTTCTTTTCTTTGAAGAGAAGCCTCCTGTTAAAAAACAAAGCACAACAAAAGCAAAGCAAGAATATTAAATGAAACCAAATGCATATAGGCGTTGCAAATTATTCTTCCTTACTTTGGGAGTCTGGATAGCCATCTGCTTCTTACAATATTAAAAAGAAGAAAAAAAAAGAGAGGATGGCCCCAGTTTATCAAATGCTATTTTTTAAGATGCAAGTCAATGCTTATACTTGTGGTGTTTTATGTATGGTTTTCTTAATTGTTGGTTATCTTTTTGTTGAAGATGCTAAGATGTTTTTACTTCTCTGCATAAGTATATGATAACACTGTCATTTGAATAGTGTGCAATGAACCTACTATAGTGACTCAGATAGAGCCTTTTCTTTTGTTTTTTTTTTTTATTTTTAGAAAAAGGTAAAGAATGTAGTAAAGTATTGAATCAAAAGAAAAGGGTGGAAGTTTTACTCCTATATAGAGAGGGTCTGTACAGAAGAGATCTATCCTGAGATGCTTACAAAAAGATCAAAAAGGTAGTTAGCCTTTTCAGGGTTACAACCGTAGAAGACACAACTAGTTGAGGGGAGATTCATGCCTCTGCTGGATTGCTTATCTCTGGTTGGGCATTTTCCAAGAGCAGCAGTCCAAGATAGGAAGGCAACTTTAGATGGGAAGAAGTGGGATCAGATGAGGTGATGGGGGAAGTCAGCTGAGAGGGGTATTCAAAAGGCTTGACTAAGAAGGTGCTGGATTTGTGCCATTTCCATTTTATGCTATCCTTGGTATCCAGCTTGGGCTTGAGATTTTGGAGGGAGCTTAGTAAGTCAGCAAAATGGCCAATCTTCTGGTCATGAAGGTTTCTTCTGAATTTTGGAGTCCAAACCACTTGATCTGACTTTTCTGCTCTGATGTTAGAAGTATTAGTGGGAACAGTACTTGAATCCTTCTGTTGCTCAGGCCGTATAGGATGATAGATTGCAGATCAACTTCATTAAACTCCATCTTGGCTTTGTTTGATGAAGCTAATAGTTATTGCATCTGAATGAGTTTAAACATTTATTTTCTCATATTGTAACTTAAAAATTTGAATATACTGATTAAAAAAATTCCATATTGGAGCTAAGAAATTAGTGAAGATTGAATTTGGTTGCTGAATTAGTTTACTGTACCATTTTTCTTCCTTTTCTTTTGTTCTTATTCTTGCTTTTGAGAACTCTTTCTGTTTGTTTAATATTGTCTAATGGACATGTTCTTCTATTGATATATATATTTTTTGCTTTCCTCCATTTCCAGGGAATTTTGCATCCAAAAGATTTCATTGAGTTTTCTTCTGACAAAAACATTTCTATAAGTATGGCTGCTTCCATTTGTGATATTTGCAGAAAAAATCCTGACAGGGGTGTGGACCTTATCCTCTCTGTGTCGGTATGATATTCCACAAACTATTTCTTTTTTATTTTTGTCTCTTAACTCCCTTGCACGATATGTTATCCAAAAGCTGCTTCCTTTCTGCTTTAATGTTGTATGTGTTTCTCACAACGTTTATCTTCTTTTTGTTTTGAATGTCAGGCATGCATTGAGAGTCGAGATCCTACCATACAGGCCCTTGGTTTTCAAAGCCTTGCCCATCTCTGTGAAACTGATGTAGTTGGTAAATTACCTTTGGTTCTCATGCATTTTTGGTAACTTCAAAGGTGCTCTTTTACATTTTGGAAATAAGAAAAAAGAATTTTGAAGATAATAGTAAACAACACTTTATGCAAGCAAGTGTTGAAATTCTCTGCTCCATAGACATGGTGGGGCCCATGCAAAGACACACTACAAGACAGAGTGGACATGTCTTTTTATGGTTCCCACCTTATCTGTAGGGGGAAGAATTAAAAATGTGGCATAAAAGCATTGCTAACTAGCATATCTCGAAAATCTTAAGAACCCTATCATAAAAAAATATTAAGAACAATATCACCATACAACAATAAAGTACACAATTATATGTGTTGAAATTCCAATTTAAAGCTAACCTATTACGGTTGCATATGACATGCTTTGTATATGGACATTGCCTGGTCATTTATAAAACTAATTTGTCTAGCTGGCCAATTTTCTGTTTCTTCTTTTTTACGGCCAGAAGAAAAAAGTGATCTAGATATATTTAGAAACTCTAGCTTATGACAATCCACTTAACTACTTTGCATCTTTCTATCATTATGTTTTCTATATTTTCTTGCTTTAGATACCTGTCTTAATTTCTATTACCTTCTGTCATTTGATGATCCGATTATTACAAGATTCTACTTTTTTCCTTTTCTTTCATTGGTACCTTACACTCATTGGTGATCATGAGAAACTTCTTTTTAAAGGCAAAGGAGAAGACTTGAAAGTTGGCAATCCTATAGAGTGCAAGATGAAATGAAAAAGCACAACCTACAGGAGGGGAAAATAGAAAATACACAAGAATAATATATACATTATTGTTGTGAGAGGAGTTCGACTAACAACTAGTGTGGGAGAGTGAAACTTATTAGATGGGTAATATTGTAATTGCACAATCGATTAATATTTGTATAAAAGAGAGAGGAACATGTTGAATAGCTAGGGGTGGCCACGAGACGAGCTCTTCACGAGCTATTCGAGCTCAACTCTGCTCGGTTTCAACTGAGCTTGAGCCCAATTTACAGGCTCATTTATTAATCAAGTCGATCTCGAGCCTAATAAAGCTTGGCTCATGAAACTCGCGAACCGAGCTCAAATAGCTACATACATACACACATACATATAATAATAATAGTGTAATATAAAATTATAGAAAATAATATATATAATAAAAATATTATATATAATATTTTTATTTTTATATAAAATAACAACTAATTATTATAATTCTTAAAATTAAGAATATTATATATAGAAAAGACATACCTCGAGACCGTTTGACGCACTGATATGCTAGTGTTTAAGGCAATTTTTTTAACAAACTCTAAATAAACTTAAAAATAGTTCATAATACAAGTAAGAAGGTTAGCTAGTGCGTTAGCTAAAATCTTCAAGATTTAAGTGAGGTGTCTCGTATGGGAATTCCCTCTCTTTAAATGGGAAGGACATGTGTCCTTCACCTAGGGGGAGGGGGTAGTTGCATAATTATAGCACTCCCTATTTGAGCTCCTTAAGGGGAAACTACAGTCTCTCTTCGCAGAAAATTGTGTCTCAGAGCATACCGCTCTTAGAGATTCTTAAGAAAAGCTAAGATAAAGAGAGAAGAAGAGAGTTCTCAGGGGAGGAAAAAAGAAATCTCATTAATACAGTTAGGTAAAAGAAAGTCCTCTATGTAAATACTTCCTATATGTGTCTTTTGTTATGTATCCTTCTTCCTCTCACCTATTGGAGACAAAAGTCTAGGCACAAGTGGGTAAGGGAAGGAGACAGGAATACAAAATTCTTTCATGTTATAGCCAATGGTAGAAGAAAGAAAAATCTCATCCATAAACTTGAGCTTGATGGTACAATCTTAATCCAACGGAGTGAGATTGCTAGGGCCTTTGTAAATCACTTCAAATTTATTTTTAGAAGACCCCTAAATGACAAACTAAGGCTAGAAGGCTTGGATTAGCCTAAGCTCCTTGAAGACTTGAAGGTCTGGTTTGAAAGGAGGTTTGACATGGAAGAAGTATGGGAAGCAATATTCTCTATGGATAGATCTAAAGCACATGGTCCTGATGGTTTCACGATGGCTTTTAGATTGTTGGGAGATACTTAAGGATGATATCCAAAAGGTTTTCCTTGAATTCTTTGAAAGAGTAGTGATTGATTCGGGATTAAATTCTACATTCATTGCTTTAATTCCAAAACAGATAGGAACTTGTCACCCTAGAGAGTTTAGACCAATTACTTTGGTAAATAGTTTATATAAAATCATTACTAAGGTGCTATCTGGGGAATTAGAGAGGTGCTTCCCACAATCATCTCCCATAATCAAGGAGCTCTTGTTAAGAGCAAACAAATAGTGGATCAGATCTTAATTTCAAATGAGAGTGTGGGCGATTTAAAAAGATCTGGAAAGAAGGGGTTGGCTTGCAAATTGGATCTTGAAAAGGCATATGACTTAGTGGATTGGTCTTTTTTGTTGGAAGTGTTCAAATCCTTTGGTTTCATGCAGAAATGGTGTAAATGGGTGAAAGGATGTATTGAGACATGCTAGTATTCTATTTTGGTGAATGGTAAGGTGGTGGACCACTTTCCAGCTACTAGAGGCATTAGGCAAGGGGACCCCCTCTCCCCCTTCCTATTCATCTTGATTGATGAAGTGTTGGGGAGGCTTATTGAGAGGGCTGAATCTAGGAGCTTGGTGAGATGATGGAGAGTAGGAAGGGATAGGATTCTAGTTACCCATTTACAGTTTGCAGACGATACCATCTTGTTCTATAGAGGGGAGGAGATCAATTGGGTCCGCAACTTGAAATTGGTGATTTATGTGTTTGAACAAATGACTAATCTTAAAGTCAATTTTGATAAGAGTTGTGTGGTTGGAATCAACTTGAGTGATAGAGAAGTGGAAGAAATGGCCCAAGTTATGGGTTGTGCGATTGCTCAGTGGCCGTTGACCTATTTGGGGCTACCCCTTGGGGATAATCTGAGTAAAAGGAGCTTTTGGAACCCGATGGTTGATAGATTCACCAAGAGATTAGCCTCGTGGAAGAAGAACTACCTATCCCTAGGTGGAAGGATTATGTTGATTAAATTGACTTTGGCTAATTTGCCTATATATTTTTTGTTAGTGTTTAAGATTCCTAAGGGAGTATGTAGGAGTTTGGAGAAATTAATGAGGGATTTCCTTTGGGAACCTAGGGAGGAAAAGAGAGACCACAAAGTTAGGTGGGAGGTAGTTACTAAAACCAAGAGTGTAGGTGGGTTAGGTTTGGGCAACTTACAAAAGAAGAATGAGGCTTTATTGGGGAAATGGTTATGGAGGTTGATTGATAAAATAAAAATGGTTATGGAGGTTGACTGTGGAAAGGGATAAGCTGTGGGCTAACGTAATCTTGAGTATACATGGGCAAGCAATTGAAGGTTGGGATGCAAGAGTATCAACTAGGGTTACAAGAGCTTCTCGTTGGAAATCCATTCATGCCATTCTTCCGTCCGTCCTTCCACACATCAGGCAATCTTTGCTCCGAAAACCTTGTGAAATTTTGGGTGCATGTTTGAGTGGGAAACATACATTTGAAAGAGCAATTCCCTTCTTTGTATTCCTTCTCCAGGTTTAAAAATGAGCTTGTTTCCACCTTCCTAGCCCATTCTAACTTGATTTCTGCTTTGGATTGGAACTTGGGCTTTAGAAGGGCTCTTAGAGACTCGGAATTGAGCAGTGTTTCTGATTTACTTGAAAAATCCTTGATGAGGTGGTTCTGGATCCCTCTAGGAGGGATAGCAGAATTTGGATCCCTTCCCCCTCTGGTGTCTTTTCTTCCTTCTTTAGAGAGTTAGTTATACCCTCAACCAATAATGAACAACCTTTCCCAGTTTTGGAAGTTTGGGGTAAGCCAATTCTCCCAGAATAGGTGCTTTTTGTTTGGAAGCTTTCTTAGAAAAGTGTTAACACTTGCAATTTACTCCAAAAGAAAATGCCTAATTGGTGTTTGTCCCCACACTGGTGCGTCCTTTGTAAGGATAATGGTTAGAGCTGCTTTCATTTATAAATCTCCTGCTCTTTTGTCTCTGATATATGGAGTTGGTTTAATGAGTTACCGCTCACCTCGGAAGCCCCTTCGAGGGTGGTTTAACCTCCTGAAACAGAAGATGGGAGGGAAAGGGGAAAGGTAGGAAGAAAATGACTCAAAGAGAGATGAAAGGGATATTCATTTACGCCACTTATTACATGATCACGACCTTATATAGCTAGCCTACATGTATGCAATCATGGAGAGAATATCTTCTGGTGGCAGTGTAACTAACTCTGGGAGGCTCTGCCGCGTGTCACGCTAGCCTCTATGTCTTCTAGTGAAATGCTGTTCGGTGGTGGCCTTCTCCACTCCTATAGTTGGGTTCAGAGGGAGTGTTTGGGTCCCAACAATTCCTCCCCCCTTAGCATTGACCTTGCCCTCAAGGTCTAGGTTTGGAAACCTCTCATTCAGCCTAAGATAAGGTTCCCAAGTGGCATCATCTGGAGGAAGCCCAACCCATTCTACCTTGGCTTTTGGCACAACCTGACCACCTCGTTGAACCCAACGGAAATCCAYAATTCTGATAGGCTCCGTGTCAATGTCCCCTTCTTCAGTGAATTGGGGTAAGTTGGGTGAGACAGGTGTATGATTTCCCACCCGCCTTCTTAAGAAGTGAGATGTGAAACACTGGATGAAGCTTTGAGGTTGCAGGGAGGTCCAACCGATAAGCAACAAGGTCCACTCTCTCCAGAACCTTATAAGGCCTATAATACTTGGGTGCTAGCTTGTGCCAAGCCCGTCTTACTACTGAGATCTGGCGGTAAGGTTGGAGCTTAAGGTAAACGAAGTCAGCCACCTGAAATTCTAACGGGCGGTGGTGAGTGTCATAGCGGGCCTTTATTCGCTGTTGGGCTTTTGTCAAGTTGGACTTAAGCAATCTAAGAATCTTGTCTCTCGCAAGTAGATGGGTCTCTACTTTTGCCACCTTGGATGA